TCATTATTATTAATTACTTAATAAATACATTTAAAATAGTACATAATAATAAAAATAACAATATAAAATTGTGATTTAAACATATTAATTAAAATTATGCTATATGGTTGTTGGACAAAATTGTGACATCACAATTTAGAACAGTTTTTTCTGAGGCTCCAATTGGACATGTAAGAGATAAAAAGTTTCAGATGCTTCCAGCGAATTGACATTTTGCCGCAAGGAGAAACCACTGCAAACAAATACAGAGGCAGAGGCAACAGTGAGCAGAGTCTACTGAGAGAACAAAGAAGCCTATATTGTGACATGAAACCTTGCCGTGCTGTTTGATAGCTTCCTCTGTGCAGTAACTGAATGTCAGCTGCGCTTTGTCTCCTTGTTTGTCATCACTATCGGTGGCGTTTCACACCCTGCACTGGGGGAAACAGTACAAAGATCATCGGGATTCAGACTTCAGCCTTTTCTCCACAAAACAGAGGAATGTTGACAGCTGAAGACCCGATGTAAAGCAAGATACATGGCATTTTGAGACTAGCTCAACAGCACTTTAATCGAAAAAAAAAGAAGCTAGTGACCAAAAACATGGACAAACAGTTTGGGTTTCAAAGTGCTGACTTTGCCTCCTGAATTAAAGTACAGTAACCATTCCAAAAGCAAAAATTATATTAAAAATTAACAATAATGATCTGCTACAAAGGGAAGAACAAAGAATAACCACCAGTCAGCTCGGTTAATAATCACAGCTGACAAAAAGGTACAGATCCTGTAACTTCACACGCAATGTGAAATCATGCGAGTTCAGTAATGAGGACCAAAAAAGACAGAATGCTTAAGAATTTCTGCACAGATACTCAAAGACCCCCACCGCTCTCCCGCTCGTCTCCATGTCTGGTTTCCTTGCACTCACAGTTGAGACCCACTGCTGAGTCATAACCAGTTCCTGCTGTGTTGAAGTCAAGCTGAGGTAATGCTTGCTGAGATTAACGCTTCTAAAACCTAGCAAGCCGCCTCACTGCTTGCTGCCTACATTGGCATCTGCTTTCTAAGAGAGTTTCTTGACTGCCTTGGAACCTCAAAACTTTGCATAGAGATTGCCATTAGCATGTTGTTGAGTTAATGAGCATAAAAGATTTCTTAGAAAAACAAAGTCATACTGAGCCTGTAAATCATTTTTTACTAATAATCTTCCCTAACCACTGTGATCAGACTACTCGGTTAGTGACTTTGACTCTGAATCAGTACAAAATCAACAGTTTTGTGAACTGGATCAGTGAATTCATTAAAATTCCTCCAAAAAAATAAATAAATAAATGTTCACAAATTAAGGTTTCCTTTCTGTCATGATTTTACCTCTTTTATCTTATATCTACTTCGCAAACCTCAAAGAACACATTGTACTGGAAGATCATTATGCAGTGTGCTCTTTGTTTGTTTGTTTTTGTTTTTTACTGAGCTTTTCGCAGTGCATTTTGGGATTGCATTGTCCAAAAAGGACAGCCTATATGCAATGCAGCAGCTTGATTAATTTGCCTATTTTTAGGAACTACCTTCATGCCTGAAGTGTGCATACGATGTCTTAAAATGCTACGTCCATAGGCCTTTTTCTTAACTCACCTAAGTGTGCGCAGGAGTTTTGAGGTGCAGTCTCTAGAGGGAACGTCTGTCCCATGCTCCAGACCCCAAAGGGCCTCCCTTTGCAGCTCCTGCCCAGGTGCACCCCAGTGGACAGCAGCGGCAATCCAGTTTCCCCCAAACCTTTCGCTTTTCCTTTCGGTTTCAAAGAACCCCTTTCCTGTCACCTAATGTCGATCTCATGCTTCCTTCCACCTTCCAAGCCAATGTTACCAAACTCCTCTCTCCCTCTTCTTTGAGTGGATCTCATGCCAACAGCCCTTCTTTTTTCCTCCACTCCTCCTCCTGCAACTCTCTCCACCCCCTCTCCCTCTCTCACATGGGACCCTCCCTCCATAGCACTTCTCTCCCCTCCACTTTATAAACAAGCTTGCAAAGCAGATCAGCATAGACGCAGACGGATTCCTATCATTCCTTAAAGCAGAGGTCAAAGTGCAAAGTGAGTGTGTGTGTGCGGGCTTGCGTTTGATAATGAAAAGCAAAGAAAAAAAGAGCAAGGGATTAAAGGGAAGTTCTGCCAGCAGAGGGAGAAATGGTATCGACTGGGAGGACATTTGACTTTGTGGTTATGGAGAACACAAAAGCAAGAGGAACTGATCATCAAACAACATCTAAAAACAGGTCATCATGTTAGTGAACATTTTAAATGAGATGTGAAATTTCCCTGACATTAATAAGAACATATTGACGACCTTCAAATTTAATGCGTTCTTTGAGGTTTGAGAAATAGATATAACATAAGATGTACAAATATAGCTGATAGTGTTTAACCTAAAAGAAATAAAACTAAAAAAAATTAAATTCCATGATTATTTACTCACCGTTATATCAACCTGAATTTTTGTGCAACACTGATGGGGAATATCCTGGACACTCTTTTTAATATAATAAAAGTGAACTGAGATTTGAGGCAAAAAAAAAAAAGGCCAATTTGTGAATAAATTGAGTCATTTCGATTCATTCATTGATCCAGTTGGCGGTTCTCCGGTTCTCAACTCAATGGTCTGATTATAACATTCACAGCCCACTAGAAGAGAAGATTATTAGTAAAATATGATATACTACTGTTCAAAAGTTTAGGGTAATGAAGAATGAATGTAAAAAAATACAGTAAAAATAGTAATATTGTGAAATATTAAAATAACTGTTCTATTTTAATAGATATTAAAATGTAAATGTTTTGCAATCATTAGTCCAGTTTTCAGTGTTCCAGGACCCTTCAGAAATCATTCTAATATGCTAAGTTGGTGTTCAAGAAACACTTTTATTATTATTATTATTGATGTTGAAAACATCTGTGCTGCTTAATATTTTTGTGTAAATGGTGATTTTTTTCCCCAGAATTCTTTCAAGAATACAAAGTTTTTCAAATGGAATTTTTGTAACATTCTAAAAGTCTTTACTGCATTAATTTTATAGTATTTATTTTACAAAATCTTACTGAGCCTAAAACTTTTGAAAGCAAGTATAAACTTAAGAATGCTGTGTACAAGTTATATGGACAACTATTATGATACTTTTGTGTCCTTTGTGAAGCTTAGAAGCTCTAGCCTCAAGGAGCAAGTCTTCAACATTTCTCTTTTTGTGTTTCACAAAAGAATTAAAGTCAGACAGGTTTGGAATGACATGAGGGTGAGTAAAACAATGACAATTTATTTTTTGGGTGAAATATCCTTTGTAGGATTTATACTGAATATTAGGGCTGTGCAATTAATCGAAATTCAGTTTCGATTTCGGCCTCCAACGATTATGAAAATACAGTAATCGAGATAAAACGATTATTGCGCCCCATTCCGCCCCCTTTCCAGCGGTGCTCTTTCGTTCCTCCATAATCAGTAAAATCATGTAAAGAGACTTTTGCAAAACGGGACGTGCTTGATTTATTTAAGTTGATTAGATTGATTTATGTTTTTAAAAGCGTGAAAGAACTTGCTCTTCCTCGGGAAGATTACTGTGGATGCGCTCAGAGACGGAACACAACACGGACATGTAAAGTCATCTTTTAGCGCCTAAACGGTCAAATACACACAAAAATGTATCAAAATGCGGCGCTTAGTGATTAATCACGTAAACCCTTGTCGGTTATGTAATAAATGAATGTAAAGAGTTAAGAATGAAAATACTTGTGTAACAGTAAATTGGATCAGTGCGGCTCTTAAAGTGACAGCGGGCTATATTCCTGCTGCAGAGTCTGTGCTTAATATTAATCAAACAACAAAAGACACATTCAAAATCACTCACTGCTCTTGACTGAAGGACTTTTGTAGCTTTAATAAAAAACAAAGGAAGTTAAATTCTTACAGTGAAGACTATGCTGTTTTATTTTACATTAGGTTAGTAAATTTCTCTAGTAGGCCGTTAACTGAATACTTTAGACTTGAAATCAAAGCACACAGGGCTCCAAACAAAAAAAATAGAGTAAGGAGCCATTGGCTCCTATAAGAAAACATTTTAGGCGCCAAATTATTTTTTTTAGGTGCCACAGAATAAACGTGTTTTATTTATTTATTTTTTACATTTCAGTCATACTTTCATGTATTTATGTCTCATCTTTTCTTGGATTTATCAGCATTTTAATCGATCTTGTAGATGACCTGGGAACTAAGGTTCACTTAAAGTGGGAATTAAACGTCTTTTCCAACTTGAAATATATAGTCACAAAGAATTGTTCACGACACAGAATCTGTACAAATATCATGGACCATAAGCATCATTTGACCACTGGGTGTAGTTTGGGCTCCTCCTCAGTGCATCCTATAAGTGTTGTCATATGTCTTTCACGCATTCAGTCTGTTTTTCTTCATTAGTAAAATGCAATTTTCTATAGGAGAAGTTGAATCATGTAGAACAGGTTAAGTAAAATATTAACATCCAATAGCGCATAAATATAGCAAAATGCTCTTCTTTATAGTTATTTTTCTAGCTGACTGATGAGCTTATGGACACCAAATTGTTATTCTGAGGTAAATGTATATTACGTTGCAATGTTTACAGATTGTTTGAGATTTTACATGAGACATTTCAGTAAGTTGTACTGTAGGCGTGCTTATAAAATAGGCCACGTTGTGATGTTAATTCATGTTCATTATGTACTACAGTAGTAAAGAGAAAGATATGTTCACTTGCCGCTTGAACTGAGGCGCTAAAGCGATCTCGCCTGCTGCATTAAAGAGCGCCAAAACTGTATTTATTGTTTGAATTTGGCATAATTTTAAAGCTGATACTTTGTTTATTAAAAAGTAGCAAAGCATTTTGCGATTAATGGATGGCAAGTGTGCTTCAAATAATATGAAGTTCACACATTAACCGAACAGCATATAGACTAAGATCTTGATAAGAAGAAGCCATATTAGTAATGATTATAAACGAGAATTGTTAACGATATTGCCAATATCCACACAGCTGACAGCTTTACCTGTTGTAGTTTGTTCAAGTTGTGCACGAAATAGACTCTGCTTTTCCACACTTTTACTTGCACTTCTCCATCATTTCGATCTCTCTCGCGCTGCACAACTGAGCTGTGTTTAGCAGGTGTGTGCCAGCGCTGCTGTGCTGCAGAGATGAGGACTGTTTGAAACTATTTTTTCCACTAAAACTTTGATTGTGCATCGTCTCAGTTTAATACGTGAGCATAGCAAATGATGCGATCGCAAATCAATCAGGAAAAAAGGCATTACATGCAAATTTTTAAGTTATAACATGTAAATATATATAGTCGCCAGTGGCGACCTCAGCAAAAACTTCACTCGCAAATTAATATTTTTGGTCGCAAATGCGACGGTTTTAGTCGCAGTCTGGAGCCCTGATATTTGATATATATCACTATCTTTAAATAAATCTTTCATATAAAGTTTTGGTCATATGGCCCACTAATCGTTTTAAATAATCGTGATTGCAATATTGACCAAAATAATCGTGATTATGATTTTTGTCATAATCGAGCAGCCCTACTGGAGATAAACCCAAGTCTTTTAAATCTCAGCAGGTTGTTTAATGGGGGTTTTAGAATAAGCAGATTTTTGATGGTTTATTAGCATATTGTGCATGTAAACATGTTGATTGTCTGGTTAACAGAAGTCATTCTGTTTAGTGTCAGTTCCAGAATCGACGACCTTGTCAGGCCTTAATCGGCCTTGTTAATGCATAGTGCACACAGTTTCCATTTAAAGTCAGCAAGCTTGTGTACATCTTATTTATCTGCATTGTATCCACCAAATTGATTTAAAGATGCTTGTCGGCATATGCCATTTATTAAAAAAAAAAAGTTCAACCACATTTTTTGTAGGACATCGCTGCTCTTATAGGTGTGGTTCCAGTGTTTTCATGGAACACTGCTCTGAAGAAAAATGTAAGTAAGGTTGTTCTGATTAGTAGTTCCTTAATAGAGATAATGGATAAAAGGCTTTGTGACAAGGCTTCACCTCACCCAGGGAGGTTTGGATGCACACAAAGAGTTCACAAAGACCGTCTCATGCTTTTCTGACACAATCTGATGTGTGACTGACAGTTTATTTATTATTTTTTTTGTTCCAAGAATAGCCTGAAGATCAGTTATCTTGTACTGGTAAAGGTCACATGAGCTGCAGTACAACCAGTCTGATTGACATGTCAGTGGTGGCACATGGTGTTCAATACCAGACTTCAGTTTAGTTCCACATGACAGGAAGTCGTTTTGTGATGTGTAGTTGAACACAAATGTGTCGTAAAATAAGGAAAACTTAAAGAGAAGTGAATGTCTTAGTCACTCTGCTAGAAAAGCATTATATGTTCATAATGTTACAGCATGATGCATGGCAAAATATTCATTTAATTTTCTTTAAATTTTTCCTATACGCTTTAAGTATACACACCAGACATACTGTGAGTATTAGTAGGAACTTTAGTAGGAAGTCTCATTATTGAAGCTGAATGAATAAAACTAGATATTGCCTTTTCAATTGCTCAATTCCCAACCTAAATCTGCCTAGGGCTGTGCAATTAATCGACAAAACAGTTCCGATTTCGATTTTGGCCTCCAACGATTATGGAAATACAATAATCGAGATAAAACGATTATTGCGCCCCATTCCACCCCCTTTCTAGTGGTGCGCTTTCGTTCCTCCATAATCAGTAAAATCATATAACGAGACTTTTGCAAAATGGGACGTACTTGATTTAAGTTGATTAGATTGATTTATGTTTTTAAAAGCGTGAAAGAACTTGCATTTCCTCTGGAAGATTACTGTGTATGCGCTCAGAGACGGAACA